GATATAATTAAATGCTGCAAAAAATTATAATATATTAATATATTTATCATTTTATGCCTATTTTATCAAATTATTCGTAGTATTATTAATCTTTTTCTCATTATCAAAACGAAATTGTTTAAAATATCTTTCAAATAAATATATCAATAAATATATAATAATTAAAAATATATAATCAATTATCACCAATTATAATTATTTGTTGGCGAGACGAACAAATAAGAGATTTTCAAACTAAAATATAATAAAGAATTTAATGACTTATTAAAAGCCCAAATTACAAGAGATCATCAAGAGCATCCTTACTTCATTTTATATAATTAAGAAATTGAATGTATTTTGAAGACAATAAATAAACCAAATAAGAATCTATAATAATTTCAATCTAAACAATATGAATATTTTTTTTCATCAAAAATTTAAATATTTCTCTTGTTCAACAATGATTGAATACAATTTTAATATATGTGTATATATATATACATCTTTAGAATTTTTTGGAATAGTTTATATATTTCAAGAATTAAAAGTTATTCATAAATCTATCTTCCGATGGCAAATGGGCTTCTTAATTTATTGAGATGTATCTCTTGAATAGGCCCCTCCTCATAATTCATTTTCCAATCGCTGCACCGAGTTGCAATTGAACGTATGCGATTTGGAGTGGGCTTGATCGGCTTGATGGTGCAAAGTGGCTTCAGCTCGTGACCACGCCTTCGGAGCCTAGATTCAACGGTGTAGAGCAGTGTACTTTTTTGCTAAGACACCGCGCCCTTCAGCATCGCCCGCGTGACCTCCGAGCCATGCCGTGATGGAACCCAATACGAACACCTACACGGCTCAAGGTTCACAGCTAGAGTTCTACTTTTCTAAGTTCAGTTATGGTTTGGGGTGCAAAACTGCCTGTCGTCTGACGAGCTGGTACTACAAAAACTGTTGCAACTGCTGCGATTCTTCGCATCACTACATAGCCAAACGCACAGTTGGTTAGGATTTAGGCCTTGATGTTCAGCATCGCGCAGAACAGGTCGTCGTCTGAGATTTGCCACACCTGCATGCGGGCGTGGGACCGCTTGAATGGCCTGTGGCCTTCTATCCCAGCCCTTCTTGTACACATACTTACATATATACACATGTAAAATATGTGTCTCTGTATATATGTATATATGTCTACATGCACTCCTTATGCAAGTACACACA